TTTAGGCCGTTCTTATTTAAAAGGGTGACCTTGTGTTTTGTGTGTGGAGTGGAGTGCAGCTTTACTGTCCACTCTGATAAGCATACCCTGTAGACAAAGCAAAGACACAGGTGCGCACTGTGCTTGGAGACCAGTGAATCTTGGTAGCTTCTGGATGTACATGAAGGGCACTGCAGTCCACATCACTGAGGGCAATAGGATAATGCTCCCATGCTCTTGCACTGCCTCATACTCTAGGTCTCACTCTAGGATTTTCAATGGATGGTGGAGTCTGCTTTTTGGACATTCATAAAATATTAAACAAAAAAAGTCTATTATTTCTTGATATTGAACTCTGCCACAATTTGCATCAAGTAAATAACCAAACATCATATAATATTTAGGCCTGCAAAAAGATAAGGAAGTTGGTTCCCTTGTGGCTTTACTCAGGTGTAAGTCACTTGGTACTGTCAACTAACAAACCCTTTACTTTCCCTCATTACAGAATTTTGGAATTTTAAAGACTTACTTACTGATATCAGATTTAACAACCTCCTGTTTACACGGATGGAAATGCAGCACATTTATGTAACAGCATGGTAGATGTAAATTAAAGTCTTCCTACTAAATCTTTGTGTTTGTAAACTGATATCTTGACCATGACTGTTATAAAAGCAGTAGATTTCACTTTGGGCTGATATCTCTGACACTGACATATATTTTCCTAACCTGTCACATACCTGCCTGTGCTGTCAGTGGGTCGCAGCCTCCGGTCCCTCATGCATCTGTGTCCATATGTCAGGGCTCAGCCACGTGTTTATTCAATTGTCTACTGGAATGAACTAATGTTGCTGGGCCCTTTCAAAAAGCTTTGTTGTCTTATATATTTCATATATTTCTATATATTTTAGTGCATCTTACAGCCACACGAAATATATCTCTTTCAGGTCATATTTTCTTCTAAGCTTTTTTTTTTTTTTTTTTTTGCTCATGGTGTTGAGCCAATTTAAATTTTTGATTCTTAGATGAATTATTATTTATCTGTTTTACCTAATCCCAAAAATTCTGTTAGGAAAAAGTCTTGGCTGCTTAGCTCAATGAGTGATGAGTGGTCAGTTAATTTTTATGTAAATAACACATTAAGCCATTAATTTTTTGTTCAGATTTACTTTTGCCTTAAAGCAATCCCACCTGCTTGGGTCTTGCAAACAGGTGTGTAGGCTCTCTCTGCATATCGCATATTGTTTGTCTGCCACCTTAAAGCATGCAGTTTGGCACTACGCTCTGTGAAATGCAAACATATAGTGTCATACACAAACTGGGAGTTATTATCTCCTGGAACAATACTAATAGATGCATGTACTGCTGTGAGCAAACAGTTTGTGCCACCGATGCCAGCAGAGTGGGTGGGTGAGTGCCTGCCAAGTCTCTAGCATGCGCCTCTGTGCTCTCTCTCAAGCTAAATTACATTCCCTACTTTACCTTTTCACTGCTTCTATTACAACTACATGTGACATTTTTGCATCATTCGCTTCAAGTACTAACAGAAATGTCCCTTCCAACTTGTTTATTGAATTAATAAATCTCTTCAAAGGCATAACTACAGTTGATCTAGAAACATTTACAATGGCATAATCACACTTGGATGTGTTTAATTAGAGTGATGAGTTTTAGGGAGAAGAGCAGGCATTGCCTTATTATTGAGTCCCCTGTTGAGCAGGTACTGCTGTAACAGCCAGCCAGACGAGGTCATTCTCTGCTTGGGGCAGTGCAGCTCTCCTGAACAACCTCTTTTTTTGGGGGTATGTCCTTGGCCTTTTAAAATCATTTATGCTGTGCTACTTAATACTATGCTTGTGGTCATGCTGCAACTAAGCCAAAATGTGACCTAATTTCCAAAATATGAAAGTTGATTAATTCATTCAAATGTGTATACCCTGCACTACTTTCATCCTATAAACAAATTCAGTTAAATACAATTTTGAAACATTAATTTTAAGTTTGCTGTTACTCTTTGATGTACAGCTCTAAAAATGCTCTTGGCTGCCAAATAATTCTGGATCCACATTAAAATTGTTTCAGTGAGTTTCTCTGGGGCCTGCCAGGACTTTCATCTAGATGTCGCTTTCATGTGTCATTCTGTGCACTATGCAGCACTTTCCCTGCATTTGACATCGACAGGTCCACAGCTGTCAAAAGCTCATCACTTAAAAATCCTTTCCAAAAGTATACAGTATAAATATTTGACTTCATCTTACCATGTCAGATTTGTAGTTTTAGATTTGTTTCACCTTGCTGCTTTTGAGTTATTTTGTTTTGCCTTTTGTTGTCTTAATCATTTTGCTTTAATACACATTTCCTGTTGTTTCACCTTAAGACTTTAAATCACAATGTCATGTTTTAATTGCTTGACCTTGCAGCGCTCTTTTCTTATGATTTTATTTTATTTTTTTTCCTGTGTATAACTAATTAATTGTACATACACATACATGAATAAATAAATAATTTGCATATTTTAATGACATTAGTCTTTAAGTTTTCCATATTTCTCATACTTTCACTCTGCCTCTCTATTGCCTGTCAGTGCTATTCTGAGCACAGTATCCTTGGTGATGCTGCACCCGTGATCAAGATTTCTCTACAGCCAATAAATCTCAACAAAAGCAGTGAAATTAATGACCAGTGGCTTCATCTTTTCTTGTTGTGTATATGTGCCGCTATGTAACCACATTTCCTCTTTGTGTCACCTACCACAACCCCCACCCAAAACACTCACACACTCCCCACCCTCCTCCATGGACATGATTTACTGCCCACCACATACACCTCTGCCTCAACTACTGGACAGGATCATAAAAGTAAGGCCTGCTCATCTGCACAGGATGCTAAGAAAAACACAGGGATATTTTTTCACCCACCTAAGGGGTCATAAACTCTCACCAAAGAACACACTTAAGGTTTTCTTTTTTTTCCTTGGACAGCAAATATACTCATTCTTTACAAGCAGTATAAAGTACATTCTGACATGAACAAATTGATAATGGCAGGCAAGCATCAACTACTTTAGTAGTAAAGTATAAATAAACTTGAGCCTTCCAAGCACAGTCCCTTAGTAATCTGTATAGTCTTTATCCTGTAGTGTCCACTGTCTCAATTTGACATTAGGACCATATGACTATGTGGCTCTGACTAACTCTGAATCACAAGCTCGTACGCTCCCAGGCCTGCTTAGAATAGCCCTTGTCTGCTCCACTGGCACACTAGCTAGTATACACACACACACACAAAAAAAACATGTTAAACAATTTAGTTTTAAAAAAATAATGAAAACATATGAGTCTATGCTCTGATAACATTTGCTCTTCTGATAATGCTGACCTCTTGATCCAGACATCCTCCCAATCGCTTCTGCTTCACTACCTGCAATTTCCTGTTTTTAAAGTGCCCCCAGTTGTCCAGTCCATTATTGGTCTCCGCACTTATTTTAGGTTAGTTACCACCCCCATTATTTCCAGCACACGGACAGCTTACCACACCCCCTTTTTGTGTAATCTGCTGTCCCACTGATCATATGGAAGCCGTGGTGACCAGACCATATATCCCCTGTTCCATCTGTAGTTGGCAGTCTTGCATCACATTTGTTCTGACAAGGGCTGCACAACTCCAATATGCCTCTTTTTATTTCCACGAGCAAATGTTGTATTGTTTTTTTTTTTTTTCTTTCAGTTAATTTTTTGCTTTAATTTTTATTATGTTTTTAGTCTTTTTTTATTTTATTTTATTTTTTTTAATGCATATTTCATATTTGGATGGATTAGGGAGCGTTAAAGAGACTTGTTTAGAGATACTGCTTTTAATTTATGTTAAATTTAATTCAGGTCTAAACACTTTTTTGCAGCTGAAGTTTTCCTTAACTTTAAGAATACCAGGCATTGGTTTTAACCCATTATGGCCCTCTGTCTGTTTTTGGTATGCAAAACACACCAAAATAATGAAATTCAAACTTGTTGTGCTTACTTTACATTAGTGGGACGAATGACTTTCATGCACGTCATAACATTTTGTTTTGGGGCTATCTTAGTTTTTACTATATCTACACAGTACTTGATACACTTGCTCAAGACTTTGCAATGTTTCTAGTACATAACTCAAATGTGATGATACTTTTGTTTTCAATTATTTTGCCAACATTTTAATTGTCTCTGCTTGACAGGCATTTAAACATTGCAAGGGTGTACTGTATTTTCTGGTTGTCTAATTGTCTTTTTCTGATTGTCTAATAATACTTAATATTACATAAACAACATAAAAATTTTCTCTTCTTTCCCTGAAAGCACCACCCTCTCCTGCACAGTGAGTCATTCAGCACTCTCAGGGTTAAAGTATAGCTGCAGCATCTTACTGCAGTGTCTAAAGTGTTTTGCTGTTGGTTACAGTAGACACCAAAAAGAGGTGAAAAACATTCCTCTAATGCGTTCTTTTCCTCCAAAAATCTTTTTTTATTGCATTTATAACATTTGGCACAGTACAAATGTTGGTGCTTTTACAAGGTAAACCTGTAAAGATCAACACTGACCTTTGTTGGTTTGTTAAAAGAAAGGCTTTTTTGTATAAATATTTTCTGAATCGCTGCATTCTTTATCTTTGTGTAAAAATCACATTGAATGCCCTCTATAACAAGCCTTTTCCTATTTGTCAAAGTCAAGACAGAATCTCAAACAACTCATTGATTTAAATAGAAGTTACAAGTTAGAAAATAGTTTTAATTTCTTTTTAATATATGTTTCTCTATCACCAGCCCATGGTAGTAGTTTTGATTTGTCCATATATATATAGATGTATTTATATATATATATTTATAAGCATGTACAACAAGAAATTCAGTCTCTTTTCACATTGCACTTTGTACAAAAAAGTTGTCATTTCCTTCATTGTGCATTCTATTGCGTGATTCTATGAAAAGGGGGGAAAAAAAGACAAAATGAGATTTGGGTCAGGGATACAACGGGTCAGACGCCCTTTTAAATCTGAGTCTCTTGTACTTTCTCCTTGTGAGTTTTTATGACAAAGGGCTCCGCCATTGCTGTGATGGTGCTGGGCAAGGTTCGGGGCAATGAGTTGCCAACATTATTATCTGTCCATTTAGCTCCTTGTCCACTTGGTTTGTAAGTATTATATTTGGGTTTTAGGGTACTGTAGTCCACTTTATGAGGGCTGTAGTCCATTTTGTGTGGACTATAATCCGGTTTAGATCTCTGGGTCTGGGGACTAAAGTCAGACTTGAAGGCGCAGTAATCAACTTTGTAAGGACTGTAATCAGTCACAGTCTTATGGGGGGTATAAGGGTCCTTGGGTTTGTAGGTATTGTCGGTTTTAGATCTCTGGGCATTGAAGTCTGTTTTCACTTTAGGCTGAGTGCTGTAGTCTACCTTAAAAGGGCTATATTCAGGTTTAGGCCTTGGGTGAGTGCCAAAAGAGGGCTTGAAGGGGCTGTAATGGGCACTGATTTTGGGCTGTGTGTTGTAGTCCGATTTCAGGGGGCTATAGTCATGTTTGGGTTTTGGCTGTGTATTATAATCTCTCTTGAATGGACTGAATTCTGATTTCTGCCTGGGATGGGTGCTGTAATCCGGTTTAAAAGGGCTAAATTCCGATTTAGCTTTAGGGTGAGTTCCAAAGTCTGCTTTAAAAGGGCTGTATTCCACCTTTGACTTGTATTCCTGTGAAAATGGACTGAAATCAGGCTTTGGTCTATGAAGGCTGAAGTCTGGTGTAGATTTGTGGGTACTGTATTCTGGCATGGTCTTGTGGCTACTGTAGTCTACATTTGGCTTATATGTTGTATATTCAGCCTTTGGCTTGTGAAGAGTGAAGTCAGGCTGCGGTTTGTACTCCACTTTGGGCTTGTGGAAACTGTAGTCTGTTTTGTGGCTGATAAAGTCCAGTTTGTGTATACTGTTATGGTCCCGGATTTCAGGCAACGTTAGTGCGGTCTCTTGTGCTGCAGAAGCTGGTGGTGGAAGGTCCTCCTCGTCTACCTGAATTATCTCCACAGTTCGAGCAGCTGCCACAGTGCTCCTCTGCTGGTGGCGCTTTCTAAGTTTGTAGAAGGCAATAAGCATAACAGCAGCCAGTAGTGTCACTGCCACAAAGCAGCCTATTATAATCTTGGTTGTCTTCATCACTTCATCAAGGCTGGGGCCTGACTTTCCTGGTTTCCCAGTGGCTCCTTGGACTGCAGGAACTACAGAGGGCTTAGCTGCACCTGGAGGGCTTTCAGTACTTTGCAGCAGGACTGTTGGTGTAGAAATGAAGACCGGCTGAAATACGGAGGGAGAAGCAGTTGTCGTTGTTGTTGTTCCTCCTCCACCAGCAGCTACCCCAGCCCCAGAGGATGTTGTGGTGGTTGTAGGTTTGGGCATTTCTGTGGTTGGTCCCATTACTTCAACCGTCACTGTGGTGAAGTAACTCAAATTAGACGTATTCAGCTCAGCAGCACTCACATTGAGGTAGGCCGAGGCATTAGAGTTCCCTGCTGCATTGGACACCATGCAGGTATAAGTGCCTGTGTCCGCAGCAAGGACATTTGAAAAATTAAGAGTTCCGTCGTTAAGAACTGATATTCTGATGTGGCTGGAGGCATGTGTAAGGATTGTCCCATTAGGTAACAACCAACGCACTGAGGACATTGGGGCAGTACGGCATCGAAGCTCTGCTACTCTCCCTGCTGAGATGTTAAAGTCTCTTGGAGCATCAGCAATGAATGGAGCAGAACATTGGGTGGCTGCCCCTTCACCCCTCTCGACTTCAACTAATTGTCGCCCCCTCATGCTAGCCGGTGAATGACAGCGTCCACAACATGTAGAGTTTGTTGGTATATACTCCCTTAGCCACCGTGCTAACCACACAGCCTCACAGCCACAGTTCCATGGATTGTGGTGAAGATGAAGCTCCACCAAGAACCTGAGCGGGGAAAACAAATCATGTGGCACTGCGCTCAGATTGTTATGGGCAAGATTAAGTTCTACCAATGAAGAAAGGTCATCAAAGGCATTTCGCTCAATTACTGTTATTTGAGAGTTCATCACCCATAGCTTTTTAAGAGCACGTAGGCCTTTGAAGGAGCCTGGTTTTATTCTCGGAAAAAGGTTTTCAGAAATCTCTAGCTCTTCCAGGCCTTTCAGTGGACTCAAATTTGGCAAATCCCCCCTAATGTTGCACATTCCCAGATTGAGATACTTGAGGTTTTGTAGGCCCTCAAACGCTCCCTCCGAGATGTACTCCAGTTTCCGTAACTCTCCCAAATCCAATCGCATAAGGGACGGGACCCGGTTGAAGGCATACGATGGGATGCTCTCAATTGGGTTATTCCTCAACCATAGTTCTCTTAGTTTTGACAAGTATTCAAAGGCCCCACTGGGCACAACTGTTAGCCGGTTGTCAAAGAGCTCCAGTGTGTTCAGGCTTGTAAGTCCATTGAACGCGCCCACCTCAATCTGCCGTATGGCATTTCGCCCAAGCTGGAGCACCTCAAGGTGGTGCAGGTGGCGAAAAGAATCCGCCTGCACCGCCTCAATGGCGTTTTCCATTAGATTGAGGTGTCGCGTGTTAGCAGGTATTCCAGGGGGCACACGGGTGAGGCCGCGCCGGGTGCACACCACTTTCCCCTGCTGATTACTGCAGGAACATTGAGGTGGGCAGCCCTGGGGTCCTTGAGACGCTGCCGCCCCCGCCAAGGCCAGGGAGGCGCTGCTCCACGCTCGCGCCATCAGGAAGACTACACAGAGCAGGGCGGCTTTCCTGGCGCGATGCACAGTTACCCGCCCCAGGAGACTCATGATGTGGCACGTTCATAATTCAGCATCATCTGGGGGGGGGGGGATGGGGGGGTGGTGGGGATGTTGTTTAGGGACTTAAAACAGTCTAACTTGTATAATCAACCAAAAGGTTCACATCACCAAGCAAAGCCAAAAAGTTATTTCATTTATAATACCAATGGGCTAGATGACCTTTTCACAATTAGTCACTGCTGTGATTATTCATATTCATACAAATATGCTCAAACGAGAACAAGTTGAAGGGCAAAACTGTGTTGCCTTATGTATATAGGTGAATGACATAATTATATATCAATCCACAAAACTGTTACATGAATGGGATTTTGCGTTATAACAAATGCAGAGAGGATGTGAAACTCTAGACACCTACCTCAAGTTAAATATACAGGCTCAGAGATCTATAGCTTTCCTCCTTTTGCAATGAGAAAGAGTTGTGGTGTTCAGAACAGATGTATTTATATCCCATGAGCAGCACTGAAAGCCTTTCTGCTTTCTTTAAAACGTGTATCAATCCCAAAGAGCTTAACCACGATGAGCCCTTTTGTAAATCCACATATCCAAATAGAAAGGCCCTTTGTGAATGTTTATTTTCCTGTTCCTTAGTCTTGAATAGAAAAAAAGCTTGGAATCCAGTCAGGCTCCTAAAGCAGCAGTGCGCCCATGCTCACTTTTTGCTGTCGGCTCCTCTTCTCTGGCTTGTCCTTGGAATCCGACAGTTGATCCCCCTGCTAGACACCGTACACAGGTCTCCATAGCACAGATGACTTCACAAACAAGCGCACAAAATTTTGTGCACCAAATGGAAAGGCAAAAATGACAAAAGAGGTAGGTGGGAGGTTAGCTTAAAGAATATTGAATGAAAAATCCTCGTACACTTCAGTGTTCCTTGCCTGCTTATTTTGCAGAGGGTAAGAAAGTCTTTTTTGGTATTCCTCTGTTTACTTTAGCGGTCAATCACTTGGTCAGATGGTTGGTCTCATAGCCCTTCTTTTTTTCCTCCTCTCCCCGTGTCGTTCTTTACTCTGCGATGCTGTGTCTTGTTTTTTTATTTCTAAAAAATCTCAAGTCGTCCCTTTCGGTGCGCTGCCTGGATTGAAAAGAAGGCGACATAGGCTGCCTTCATTAGTGTCTTTTCTTGTCCAGCCACATGCTCAATCCTTAGAAGCCACGGTGGCTCCAGCAGTATTCATGAGCACGCACACACCATCCCTGCAACGCACACGGCAGTCGGAGCGAGCACACAGCAGCTGCAGCCTGCCTCCCATGCACTTCCCAATAATCCGTCAATTTCTTCAGAGGGGGGTGTGAGGTGGGGGATGGAGAGGGGTGCTTTGAGGAGTGGGGGTGATGTCGCTCGTTGATCGAGGTGGGTGAGGAGTCACAAAAAAGGAGGGGTGGTGCGCAGTTTCTCCTTCCTCTGTTCGGCTTCTTTTTGGTCCAGTTTTTTCTCCTCCTCCTCCTCTCCTTGCGTTGATCGGCACCCACTTGATGATAGAATGTCCTACTGGGGAGAGGACCAAGACAGGGAGGCAAGCGCTGGGCAAGTGCTGCTTACAGGCGTGACGTTAACAGTAGCGTAGATGTGGAAAGGATCCGTTGTAGCAGCAATAGAGCGCGTGTGCCGGCTCCGCTCTCGCTCGCTCTCTCTCTCGCGCGCGCGCTCTCTCTGTCTCTCTCTCCCCCTCTCTAATGCACTCTCTTTATGCTTCTCTCTCCCTCACTCTCCCACTCACAGACACACTGCCTGTCTCCCTCTTTCTCTCTGCAGTGTCCTGGGGTAGTTGGGTGAGCTCAAAGCACTCAGACCTTTTGTGAGATCTACCTCTTCAAAAACCAGTTTGTGCTTGCTGCTTTTTCTCATGCTTACAGCACAATGTTTCTTTGAAATTCTTTAGCTTTGTCTAGATTCTGGAAAAGCCAAGCAAAATTTAACCTTGTTAACATTAAGATGAAGCGCTTGGATTCTAGTACATCCAGAGAATGTCATGTTAAATGTGACATTTTTTAATTGTCTGTAGATTGTTTCTCCACTTAGACCTACTGTCCCCCAACCCTTGCAAAATGGTTTGATTTGTTAAACAATATTGAGATTGGATTGTTTAAGTGGATTGTGACAGTGCTGTAGATATGCGTGTACATTTGTGTCCGAGCTACAGAATAAGTGTGTGAAAGTGGAGAGGGGGAGAAGCATGACGGCTAGAAAAGGTCACTGTGCCTGTAGCACTGTATATTATTCCCACAGGCACAGAAGTATAGAGCCAACTTCTGCATTAGACACACATACACACACATTCTCCTTGAATTCACTGCACATGAATATGAATTGGCTTCAATGAAGCAAATGTTACATTGAGGTGGCAGCTATATATGTGCAGGGGTTTTTCCAGTGCCAAGCAAGTGACCATTCAGGGGGGGGATTTCCCTGTCCCACAAAGGTATATCTGACAGCCATTAGAATACCAATTAAAATACTTCTTCTACTACAGTTGGAATAAATTGCAGCATTTGGTTTGGTCACAAACTCAGTCTCAAAGCATTGCTATTACGGCGGGATCCTTTGGTGTAACTCTGAATTGTTTTAACAGTGCTAATGCTCTCTTTCTGTCAAACCTTTTCCACAAAAATAAAAATGATTATATACAATCTAGAAAATCCCTGTCATTTGTTAAGGATGTGCAAATTAATTAGTATGTTGTAAGCAAAGTAGGAATTCAGGCATTCTGTAGAATACCTTGATTATCAATTTTTCCGGTAACATAAACATTAAAGTAAAATTGCAGAGACATTAGTTAATCAAGCAATACTGTCTATCATGTTCCACAAAGTCAAGCCCTGCTGAATCAAAGTAAGATTTTTAAGTTGTATTCCACAGCACAGTAGGAAAGCACTACTGATTAAAATAAATCTATAATTTTCCACTGCTATTGCTTCACACATACTGGCTTTGCAATATTGTTTGGGTCTGGGTCCCAGTACCCCTGGATCAGTCAGCTCTGCAGAATGTCCTCAGCGTGTGTTTTACCCACCCATTGCAATACCTCCCAGACCTCTGACCCGTTACGTGACCAATGTGCCAGGGCAGCACTGTTCTTTTGGCCTTGATCCACTCTTTTTGTCTACCCTGCCTCTCCCAACACTTGTATTGTCTGTTCATGCTGATTTGAGAGGAGGTTATGACCTGCCAAACCTTGCAATACCTCAGTGATAAGCATTACTAATTGGTGTGATCTTGACCTGGACTGGTCATTATAGTGTTTGGCTAACAATCAACATATCAGGATGTCAGGTTTCACACTGTAACTCGGACTTGCTCTTGTCTCTCTAAGCTGACAGGCAGAGCGTTGTCAGCCCTTGTGGACTGATTGAAGGGCTGTCACATACTATGTGAGACCTTCACTTTGTAATGCCAACTCTAAGCCCCTTTTGTGTTACCCCTGCTCTCCCCACTGCACTTAAGGGTCTTTGAGCAACCCCCAGTACCAGGCCAGGAGGGCACAGAGTATAGTTTAAGGGTATGGCACGGCCTACTTGTGCGGATTGTCAGTCAGTTTGTACAAGGGGTATGCAAACAGTCCAGAACTCTCCCCCTGGGGTAAAGTCAATCTGGGCTGCGTCCAGTCACATGTAGGTCAGCAGCCTGCATGTTCGTGTGTGTCATGGTTTCCATTAGAGAGAATGCCCTGCAGTATCCTATAGAAAAATGAAGCCTCGGTTAGTCGAATGCACAATTGTGTAGGAGATCAGATGAGGATTTTACCTGCTAGTTTGATAGATTAGTTTTTGTCACACATGTGGCATACCATTTCCTGCTTTTCCTTTTTACAGACACTGCTGAGTTTAGACATATTTGAAGATATGTCACAAAACAAAACTGCTCTTGACCTGATCCATTTTAATGTTTTAACCTTTGAAACACTATTGGTTATGAATGAAGAGAGATGCATGATTTTATTGTGTGTGTGTGTGTGTATATATGTATATGTATATATGTGTATATATATATATATATATATATATATATATATATATATATATATATATATATATATATATATATATATATATATATATATATATATATATATATATATATATATATATATATATATATATATATATATATATATATATATATATATATATATATATATATATATATATATATATATATATATATATATATATATATATATATATATATATATATATATATATATATATATATATATATATATATATATATATATATATATATATATATATATATATATATATATATATATATATATATATATATATATATATAATAAAATAATAAATCCAAAGCAGTATTAAAGAGCTAATGAATTATGATAACATGATCTGTGTCTAACACTGACCTTGAAGGAAAGCCATCTACATATACTACTATCCCCATTTTAATGGAATTTTCCTGGAATTAATTCTGCTCCAGATTATATGCACATGGTGTGACAGAATTGCTGCTATCAGTATTCCTGAGAAGGATTAAAATGTTTTTTTTAAACTATTATCATTTTTATCATCTGCTATGTTCACTCATAGGGATGGTGAATCCAGATATTTTACCAGGCAATAAACTGTCATTTTAGTTTAGTTTAACTTAATTCTTCCAACTTTTCCACCCTCTTCACATTTTTACCTACCTTTTATCTCTTTACTTAAAGGCTACTTTATATTGTATTGGTGCAATAGACTTCATCATCCAGTCCAGCGTTTTCATGTACATGGAATATACAATTGAGCAATAGCACAGCGCTGCATTTTCTCTGTCCCCAGCAGTCAAGGAATGCTTTTATGTTTTTAGACAGTATATATTTGCAGATATTTTTGTACAATTATAAAGCTAACAGATTTTTCCTTGTGAATTTAGCTTAGTGTATTATTGCATTAGGATGCATGGAGTATTAATGTTGGTGCGTTCATCAGAATGTTGCTTTGCCAGTTGCCAAGGCCTATGAAATGGTTGTCTGTCTCAGAGCAAT